TTGCATTTATTATATCTGCTGTGCAGGATACAAAAAAGGGTAATGTATTTTCATCTCATAGTAACACTTCAGATACTAGCTAAAAATTAATAAATTATCCTTCAAAATGACTCTGTGCAGTTACTTTATTAATTGACCAGACACTTAAGCTAAAATACTGACTTTACATTTTTGATAATGAGTTAATTCAGAAGCTTGCTAAAACAGTTATTTGCTTGGAATATTACTTGATCTAATCCATTTGATCTAATGTATTGTTCAGTGTCTCTGTTTATTTTTCATCTGGTTGATCTGTCTAATGATGTGAGTGATGTGTTAATGTCTCCTAAAATGTATGTGTTACAATCTATATTCCCCTGTAGTTCTGTTAGTATTTGTTTTACATATGTAGGTGCACCTATGTTGGCTGTGTAGATATTTATAATGTCTATTTCCTCCTGTTGGACTGACCCCTTTATCATTATGTAGTGTCCTTCTTTGACTCTTGTTACTTTCTTTGTTTTGAAATCTATTCTGTCAGATATTAAGTACCACTACTCGTGCTTTTTTCTTTCTATCATTTGTATGCAATATCTTTTTCTACCCCTTCACTTTTAGTCTGTGTATGTCTTTGGTTCTGAAATGAATCTCTTGTAGGCAGCATATAGATGGGTCTTGTTTCTTTATGCATTCTGCCATTCTATGTCTTTTGATTGGTGCAGTCTATTTACATTTAATGGAAATATTAATTATAATACATTAATTATTAATAGGTATGTGCTTACTGCCATTTTATTAATTGTTTTCTGGTTATTTTTATGGCTTCTCTGTGTTCCTTTCTTCCTGTCTTATACTCTTCTCTTATTATTTGATGGTTTTCTTTAGTGTCATATCAGATTTCTCTTTCTTAATTTTTTTGTTTATCTAGTATAGGCTTTAATTTTGTAGTTAACAAAGGTTCAAGGATAGCTTCCTTACTACATAACAGTCTATATTAAGTTGCTGACTGCTGTATTTCAAATACAATCTGAAAGTACTTGATTTCTTCCTCCTCCTCCACACTTTATGTATTAGATGTCATAGATCTGTACTTTTTGTGTATCCTTTGACTGATTCTGTATTGTTGCCTGTGGGTTTTTTTTCACTGGTGAAAGCTATTTAGCCTTAGGAACATTTCCATCTACAATATCTTTAACATGTCCTATAATAATAATTTAGTTGTTAAAAATTCTTTAAGCCTTTGTTTATTTGGAAATCATTTAATCCCTGCTTCAAATTCAAGTGACAGTATTGCTGGGTATAGAATTCTTGGTTTAAGGTCCTTCTGTTTCAGTACATTAAATATTTCATGCCAGTCCCTTCTGGCCTGTGAAGTTTCTAGTGGGAAGTCTGCTGATAGCCTGATGGGGTTTCCTTTATAGCTAATTTTTTTCTCTCTCTCTGGCTACTTTCAACACTCTCCCTTATCCTTTATCTTTGCCATTTTAATTATTATATGTTTTGGTGTTATCTTCCTGGGGTTCCTTTTAGGGGATCTCTTTGCTTTCATGACCTGTGTGTCTATTTCCTTCCCCAGATGGGGGAGGTTTCCAACAATTATTTCCTTTAAGAGACTTCCTATCCCTTTGTCTCTCTCTTCTCCTTCTGGTACCCCTGTTATGTGAATATTGCTTTGTTTGGATTTGTCACAGCTCTCTTATTCTTTCATTCCTAGTGATACTTTTTCTCTCTGTTCCTCAGCTTTATGTGGTCCTGTTCTCTAATTTCCATCTCACTGACTGTCTTCTATACCTGCTGTAATTTATTATTTGTTCCCTCTATTGTATGTTTCTTTTGGGTTACTGTATTCTTCAGCTCTGAGTGGCTCTTTTTTAGCTCTTCCATCTCTTTGTTGAAGTCCTCCCTGAGATCTCTGATACATTTCTGCAAATCAGTGAGCATATTTATGACTGTTATTTCGAAATCTTTTCAAGATTGGTGATCTCTGTTTCACTTAGCTCTCTTTTGGGGTTCTTGTCCTGTAGGTCTGTCTGGGACATATTCCTCTGCCTCCTCATTTTGTCTGGGTTTCTGGGTTTCTTCCTTTGTATTAGATAGATCTGTCATGCTTCCTGGCCTAGAGAGTAATAGATTTATGAAAGAGGTGTCCTGTGGTACCCAGAAGCTCAAGACTCTTTACTTTGCAGTTCCTGATTCTACTTTGTGGGGGCCCCAGCTGTGCTAGTGTTCAGTGGGTGGGGCCTCCTTTCAGTCTGTCTACTGTTAGTGGTGGGAGTCTGTAGTGCTGGCAATTTGCTGACCACCTTTATGATCAGAGCAGAGGCTCTACTGGGATCATTGTGGACCAGGCCACCCTCTGCATACCCTGTAGTCATGGCCGAGCTTCAGGGTTAATGGGGTTGGTGGGGCCATTGTGCGGTTCTGGGGCAGGATGGGATGTACGCTACCAGGCTTGGACATCTGTGGGGAGGAAGGAGCTGCAGGCACCTCTCAAGTTGGGCCGAAACAGAGCTGAAAAAGTTAGGAGAGTCTTCCTCTGCTTGCCTGGCAGCAAAGTCTGATGCTGCTGCTGGTCTGAGTGGGCTGGCTCACTGGCAATTCATGCAGGGAGATGCCTCAGAGCTGAGATGCCAGTGATGGTGATAGAGCATTTGGGGCTCTCAAGAGTCCCCAACCCTTGGGCCAGGTCAGGCTTGGGAGGCACTGTCTCCTGAGGAGAGAGCTCCATCCAATCCCCACCCCTCTGGTACTCCTCCCACTGCTGGCAAGTCTTTCAAACTGCTGCCTCTGCCTTGGGTCTGGCAGGAATGGTAGAGAGTGCCTGGCTCCACAAGGAGCTGGGGTCTCACCCTCCAAGACGGTTCCAGCTGTTCCTGGTGTCCAGTCCCACTGGCTGCCAGAACCCGATATAATATGAACTCTTGTGCCCGGGGCAGCTCTCCAGGGCCAGGTGTGCAGAGTTCCTACGTGCCTATCTCCTCCCCGCTCTGTTCCTCTGCCTCCCACCTATGGGCTGGGACGGGGGCAGGGCTTGGCCCCCACTCACTCATGGTTCTGCCAGTTTACCAGTTTCTGTGTGATTTTCTCTCCCTAGTTGTAGGTGGTCAGTTCTGCAGTCTTCTTCAGCCTTCAGGTTATTTTCAGGTTTAGTTATAAACTTTCTAGTGATTTAGATAATCACATTGCAGTCTTCTTCAGCCTTCAGGTTATTTTCAGGTTTAGTTATATTTGCTGTAGTTTCTCCCTTTATGTGTTTGTTTGAGGAGGTTTCCACCTTTCTTTCCTACTCTGCCATCTCTCATCCCCAGTTATTTTTAAAAAATCTTAAAATCATAATCCAAGAAGCAAATATTTCATATTGAATTAAGAGAAACAGAAATAAAAGCCAAAAAATAAGAAAATTCTTTAATTTAGCTACACTAAATTAATGTAAAGTTAAAAATATCTGATTATTTGTTCTGGAAAATTTCATATTCAAGTTGTTTCTTTCCAAATTATTAAATTGATTAAAGAACAATCAAATGGTGACATTAATTCAACATTTTACTTATTCTTTTTCATCACTACACTATGCAGGAGACTTTACTACTCAAAATATTTCATTGTCCTTGTACCCAGGAATTGACAACCCTTCATCTATTCATCTATACTGCAGCAACTATATTTGATTTTTTTCCAAGCCTATCTCATCTGAACATTGAAAAACAATTCTACTTATGGTGGTTCTCTACTGTAATTATCTTGAGATACAACACTAACTATAACATGGAAGTTGATGTATAGTAACTGGATTAGGGAATGACATAGGTGTACTTCCAATCCACCAAACCCTCAGTTTACCACCCATCACTGCAGTTGCTTGAATGCCCCATGTCGTAACAAAAAACTCGTCCATCCTAAGTATAAAATCTCTTTAGCAATGATGTACATAGGATATTTTGCTGTAGCCTCTTCCACTCTTCTGACAAGTAGAAAATCCTTTATTACATTGAATTAAATGTGGTTTGTCATACATTAGTTTAATTCTGCACAATGTGAGCTATGGTGAGCAATTCCAGTCCTGTTCCCACACTGTAGACCTTCAAATTCTTCAGGAAAAAAAAAAGGCTAAAATGAGATCACTTGAATGATAAGGATTTGATCATTTTGGTCATATGCTCATTCCAAATGCAAAATTAAGTAGATTGTTGTTTTATTTGGCCCAGTGCATAATGCTATTGATGCCAATAATTAAAGCTTACTATCCTTTGGAAGCTGTTATTTCATAATTAATGTTTTTTGTGAATGTGTAACAAATCTTCTATATTTCTGTGTATATTCAAATGTATAGACACACATATACATATATATACACATTATATATTCACACAAATGCATACACATATATATTCATATTCTTAGGATGTATAGCAGAGGTATTCTTATGACATAAGAAGAGCTTGTGCTTGTCTTACATTTATGTTTTGGATAGCACAAAGAACTGAAAGATAACTGGGACCCAACATTTCATGGCTTAAGCACATTCCTGAGATGACAAGTGGCTTTCCCTGGAATAAATATTTGAGGGAGGGCAGTTTCTTTTCTGACCTCACATACCTGAGTGAGTTAAGGTTTGAGGAAAGAAGAGAATGATTAAAAAATCAGTAAGCAAAAGGATAGGAAAAGACTTAAGCAAGAAATGCAGAGGAGAGAGAACATAAGATGAGTAAAGGTAAGGAAATAATATAAAGAAATTGAATGAAATAAATATCTCACCTTTTAATTTTCTCTTTGTTGATTATCCATAAAAGTTTCATCTCCCTTGTAATAAAAGAAAGGTAATCAAGTCCATAACTTTTGGGGTCCGTTGTTTGAACTATGAGCTTAATACAAGTTGTCTCTTCTGACACATAATTCAAGACACTGTCTCTTTCATAGTTACTGAACATGAAAGCAGAGTGCCCAGTATTTAAAATGCATTTTTTACTTGTCTTTTTTAATGCTTTACACTAGCATCATTTAATGATGTCTTCCTTTGACAGTGCTCTGTCCTGCCAATGAATTACGGCTAGATTCCACAGGAGTCATATTGAGCCCTGGATATCCTGACAGTTACCCAAATCTACAAATGTGTGCCTGGAGCATTTCAGTAGAAAAGGGATATAATATCAGCATGTTTATTGAATTCTTCCAGACAGAAAAGGAATTTGATGTTCTTCAGGTGTATGATGGTAACCATGGGTTATATTTACTAGAGATCCATAAACTCAGTCCAAATGCTGTACTTATAAATACAGACCTTCTCCATAAATGACTGCGTATATGATTTTATATGATCTAATATTATCAGAGCATCATCAAATTTCCTATATACCAGATGAAAATTGTAGTTAGAGTGATTACTGTTTTTTAAATTGTAGATTATTTACCTATGAAATTAAAGTGCTTAAAACAAACATTTTTTATTATGTTTTATTATTGATTAAGTAGATTAGTTGTTGAGCAATTTCACCATATTTAGTACTATATAAAATACTAAAGGTAAATTGGAACATAATTATTCAGTTATATCTAAATTGTGTTGTTTTCTTTTTGAAGGACCAAATATTCAAAGTCCAGTGCTTATTTCCCTCAGTGGGGATTATTCATCTGCTTTTAATATAACAAGCAATGGTCATGAAGTATTTCTTCAATGGTCAGCAGATCATGGCAATAACAAAAAAGGCTTCCGGATAAGATATATAGGTATGTGATACTTGTAACTTCAGTACAGATCTCAGCAGCATCCTCAGTATGGTTGTGATTAAAGAGCACAGACATAGACTATTCATTTAGATATAAGTTTGAAAAGCAGTTCTTCCACTGATGTTTCTTGAGCAATATATGGAACCTCTGTGTGTTTCAATTTCCTCATTATAATAATAATTCTACATCTTTTATATGTTTTCTGAAAGATTTTTATGACTCGTATGTAAAATAAGCAATGATATTTTAAAGATTTTTTTCAATAGATTTGTTTTCCTTGAACTCTCACAAAATACTAAGATCATTGCTTACTTGTGTATATTTGATCTGTTTATGAACTCCTTTAAATGACAAGTTGAAAAAAAAGATAAACATACAATGGTAAAAGTCTATGGTTTTTTTTCTATCTATTTATGATACTTGCTAAATATATTAAATATTGAAAGAGAAATTGATAAATACATCGTTTAAAAACCTTTGTTTTGAAAAAATAATTGTTTTGTCATAATTGCTTTTCATTGAGAAATATTTAGGAAGATGTGGGCTGAAAAATCCTTGTTAATTATCAAGATGAAATAGTTTTTTCTGTATGCCTTCCTGTTTATAAGGTCTACTAATACTGAGCCAGTAATTTTCTTGTTGAGTACGTATATATAAATAGTTCCTCATTATATGAGGATTATATTCTTTTTCTTCATTGCCATCCTAAATCATGTCAGAGGCCATGGGTACGTGCTCAATAACAGATTACTCCAGAACCTGTCAGCCATCTCTTTCTGTATGGTGTTCAGACCATGTCTCCCCAAGAAATGAGTCATTGCTAATCAGTTCAACTGAAAATTACTTTCATAAATATTTTATAAACAATTCTGACACAACAATCCTAGTATAGACTTAAATAAATTTTGAATTTCAGTTCTTAAAATATACTCTTGAAATTCACTCATTTATACAAATTTGCATATATATAATGCACAAATAATAGAATAATTTTTGTGTTTTTGCTTTGACTTTAGGACTATAAGATGATAGTTTAATTATAATTTATTAACAGTTTCTCTTTTTACATAGAAGTAAATTGTCACTGATTTATTACTAGATATATACAAGTTTTATCATATAATAGATTTCTATTAAATTAAAAAATATTTTAACCACACAAAAGAAAAAAGTTTTAAAAAATTGAAATATATGTTCCAGTCATCCTTTAGATTTTTCATATTTTAATGTATGTTTCTACCATATAAAGAATGTGAATCTTTTTTTACAGTTGTGCCCAAAGATGGCATCACATTAAATCATACTTTTGCTGATAATAACTTAAAGGAGAACCATTCAAACCAAGCAATTCTAAGCATTAGATTGACTATATTATAGACTAAATCCTTACTTTCATTGATTTTTATGATAAAATTTGATATAGATATAGTGAAAATACTATTTTTAGCCCCAAGAAGATCTTGGAATATTAAATATTTTTCCTTTGGAAATGACAGGTTGTGAAATATATATATTCTTAGTCCAATCTATTTCTTACTACTTACACCTGAAATGTCATTTTTCTCAGATGAATACATTGAAGTTACAAAGGGTAAATGGATCCTGCCAAGCTGAATAGTCTCAAAGCACATACATATAAAAAAGCCATTTGACATTATCTTTTGACATTTCAGACTTCAGGAGATGAAAAAGGTTTTATTTTTTTATCAGTATATGTAAGCACTCTTGAAAGCATGGAAACTTTAATAAACTTGGAGAGAGGATTATGGAATATCGGGAGTGGGTCTTATTTTAGACATCAACCAAAATGAAATGCATGACCTAATATGATATAGGTGTCTGGAGAGAACTTTAAAGTTACATGTAAAGAACATGGTCTGAAATATTACTACCAAGGAGTGACATTGAGGCCCTTCTGACAAGAAATAGGTCTTTCAAAATTCACTGAAATACTTGTAGAGCTTTTGAACCTCCGGGTGTTAAGAAAATATGATATATTTCAATTCAGAACATCTTTGGTGATATAAGTGTTGGAAGATGAAAGCCTAGAGAAAGTTATATCTCCTAAAAGTAAGGCCAATAGATTTTTAAGAGGATAGAAAATTATATGATGTTCATATGCACTCACAGAGAGGACAACTGATCTATTTTTAAGTATTAGTATTCTCTTATAGGATTTTATAACTCTGGATCATAAAGACCTTCTGATTCATTAATTATATAGTGATTCTTTTTCTTTTGTAAAGCTTTCTACTGTAGTACACCAGAATCCCCACCTCATGGATACATTATCAGTCAGACAGGTGGACAACTTAATAGTGTAGTCCGCTGGGCATGTGATCGAGGATTCCGACTTGTTGGAAAAAGCAGTGCGGTGTGCAGAAAGTCTTCCTATGGGTATCATGTGTGGGATGCACCGGTTCCTGCTTGTCAAGGTGAAGTATATTATCCCAGTGTGGACGAACACATTAGTAAAAATTAACCCCATTTAACTTTCTTATTCATTCAATGAAACTTCCAAAATATAAATATTCAGGAGCATATTATAGATGCCTCTTGTGGAAATAAGGCTTAAAAATGCAAAATGATAAATTTGAGGAGAAAAAAACATTGTTTTGTAATTCTCACTTGTTTTGTGATTTATGCGTTCATTCTATCCACTTATGTACCTACTTTACTCAGACATCTACCATTCCCATGACTTTGTTATCAGAAAATGATAGACCCAGAGCTGGAGATTATTTTGGAGTCTGCAGAGAAGAGAGGATTAGAGTGGGAAAGTTCCCCCGAAGACTTCCACCCTGTATATGCAAAAATGCCTTTTCAGAGCAGCACATTTAAAAGAGGAAAATGTAGCCAACCACCATGTTATTTTTTTCTTCATTGTTTAGCTAACTCAACAGAGATATATGTCTTTCATCTGTATTTTGCTGAGGCACTGCCAGAGCGTTGTATCCTGCTACAGCAAACAGAATGGCAAGCTTCTTAATCAACTAATGACACATTTTAGAGCTTTGGAGTATGTCTTGTTGTCAAAATGTAGTTGAGTCTTTCAACTAGGTAGTCATAAAGACAAATTCAACATCAGTTAAAGGAGAAAATCTATAATATCATTGGACTTTGAAAAATTACAAATATTTAACATATTACATTATTTCATCAGTTGAAATTTAATTTTATATTTGACTTATTCTACCAATCATGAGGATGTATATATAACAACTATGAATCCTCACACTGAAAAGCATAGACTACTCTCAGTTAATAAATAATGGGTCTTAACTAAAATCTACTTATTGGAGACAATTTATAATAAACAATAAAATATTAAAGAAATAGATTAAATTTAAAATTAAATAATAGCAATTTTAAATGAGCAGAGAATAAATACTACTAGATGCCACAAATGGCTTCTTTTACGTATTCAACTGCAATTTCTAATTCATGAATAGACAGCTCTCATAGGGATGCATAAATAAATGAAAAAAATCAAAGATCTATTGTTTCCTTTTTATGTTGATGCAGGAAATGGTAATTCCTTATTAGAATTCTAGGAAGCATCATAACCTTAGTGGACTAAAAATATTGAAGCCATTAACATCATACAGAATAGGTATAGTTTAATAAACTATCAAAACATCTGTTTTCCTTTGACCAATGACTACCAGAAGTATTAAATTTCCCAGAACTGGTTTTAGAAATAATCTCTGATCTCCTGACTTCAGAATCATGGGAATTTAAAACATATAAAATAACCTCTAAATTGAACATATTTTAAATAAACATTAAGATTCTGTGAACTTTGAACTATTACATTTCAGTTGTGTAAGGATTGTTAATATATTTTAATATATATAGAATATCTAATAATCTTTATATATAGTAATCTTTATTGAAAATAATTAACTCATGGTTAAAATAAAAGTATCCTGAACTTTCTAAAATTTTGAAATTGCTTTGTGGAGTCAGTGCTGTAATTTCCCTGTGTTTTTTTTTTTTTGGTATATGACATATATGGAATCTTTTTTTCATTGTTCTTGATTTAATATTATCCTTCAATTAGGTAAATTGAAATCCAGTTTAAAAAGATGTTTGGCATAGTAAAATGACAAAATATTTATAATTTAAGGAGCCATTTCCAAAGCAGTCTTTGGTCATCATTGAAACAATTTTAAAAGATTATGTATTTCACAAAAATGTTGTATGTGCCCTACCTGTGTTTAGACACATGCTAATTAAAATGAACTGGTTAAATGTCATTGGGAAGAGCTGTTCACATAATGCAAATGTTTGTTTTGTTCCAGATTTGTTTTATACTTGAGTTGCTTTATACACTCTCCTATATATTTACTTGAGCTACAGGTAACACAATGTGAGCAGAGTTAAAGGTAGAAAACCTAGTCTGCTATCTCTACTCAGGTTTGAGAATGTGTTTTATTTCTTTGTTTATACACCTAATAATCACTCATTGATTTCCCTCTGCCTTTCAGCAACTGAACTGTTCCCATCCCACTATATAACTGAGTATTGCACTGACACTTTGTATTCCCTGCCTCACTTTTAATTTCTATTTTTTGAGAGTTCTGTAAAGACACCTTTTTGACAACCACTCAGTGATGATGGTTCTTCTGACTTCAGCTTGTTTTCTTTTTATAGCTGAGAAGTTAAATTGTAAGCTATCTTCAGCACAGTTGTCCTATCATTTTAGTATGTCCTTTTTTTTCTTTTCTAAAATGTAGCCATTTTGTACTAACCTAATAAATGGAACATATACTGTTTAAAGTATATTTCCTTTCTACTTGGATCTAAGTTCAATCTTCACTACTTCAAAAATGTAGTTTTTATTTTAAAAACCAGTAAATATGCAATCTTTGGTAGGGGTTCATTGGAGAGAATGCTTAATACAAATTGAAATTCCCAAAAGTATTAAGTAGAAATAGAAGCACTGCTTTAGCAGACATCAGGGAACCATTTACATTTGCAACACTATGTTAGAGGATCTGTAATTAGATAGCAGGAATGAGAACATAATTGTATGAAACTGTTTATATAATTCATTAAGTCAGTATTACTGCTTTTTTGTTCATAATTTGGAGGTTTTAAAATTGCAAAAGATATTCACCAGTAGGGAGTCTGTCATTTAGTTTTGAGAATTCCATATAGATTTCATAAAGAATTTTTTATACTTGATAGTCAATTCACATTGATTAATTACAATTAAACACCTAAATGGTAGGTTTGTAAGACAAATAGAATTTTAGGTTGAAATGGGAGATAGGTAAATAGAACACAACATTTGTATCTATTTAAACTAAACTCATATCTTTCTGTTCTTGATTTGTTTTGATAAGAATAATAAATTTACAAGTCTAGAATCTCCTATATGGACTGTGTAAGACTAGATAATTGAGAATTCATAAATTTTCTGATTTTCCTGAGATGATAGTACCTCCAACTGGTTCTGGGGCTGCACCCATATTCAAATATATTTCTCTTTCTGCAGAGATATGTATAAATATTTAGATATATCTAAATGTTATATAAAGGTACAAATCACCTTAATTTTTTAAGGATTTTGCTGCCAAATATATTCTTTGACAGCTTTTTTTTCTTTTTGGAGATGCAAATTGTGTACTTGTAGAGCAAAGATAGAAAAACAATTGGTCTTAGGGGATTTCTATATAGTAATTCGAATTTTTAAGATGTGAAAATATAAGTAATGAACTATTTAAATATAAATTTTTATCATAATTATCATAATATGATAAAACTAGTTTTCACCTATATCAGATTCATTGTATATGACAATCAAGACAAGCTAAGACATGACATTCCAGTGAGATGCAGGAAGATCCATACTAGGTTTTAAGACAGTAAGGCTTGGCCCTATATTCACTAAAGTTCTCCATATGCATGATATTCTATGGTGGTGCTCAAGCACATAGAGTTTGGCTGAACCTAAGATAAAGCAATAACCAACTTCCATGTAAAATAAATCTATTTTTTAATTCCTGGACAAAGTCCTTATAATCTTGAATAATGATCCTTCCAATTGAACTGCCCATACTTGCTATGTGGTAGTCCAGTCATGGGTTAGCAATAGATATACTCTGTTTACCTGACATGTGTTCTCATATAATTTATATGAATGCTAATAACTATGCACATGCTGACAAGAAACTAAGGAAGTGAGAAGTAAAGCATTAGCAATGTATCAATTTACCGATTTAAAACATTCAATAGGATTTTGAAATAAATTACTTAAAAAGTTATGGTTCACAAAGGCTTTTTTGGGGAGATACTTTGAAATTGTTTCACAGGAATTAATGAAACCCCAAAGAATCATATATGCTTTATAGTTTAGTCTTCTCCAATAAGTTTTCTTCTGTTTCTGTGATTTTGTATGTATGTGTTTATTCTAGCAATTTCCTGTGGGATTCCTAAAGCACCAACAAATGGAGGAATACTAACGACAGACTACTTGGTAGGAACCCGAGTTACCTATTTTTGTAATGATGGATATAGATTGTCATCTAAGGAACTTACCACTGCTGTGTGTCAATCAGATGGAACTTGGAGCAATCATAACAAAACCCCTCGCTGTGTTGGTATGTGTGTTAAGGAAATTTCATCAGTTGTGTTTCTATCGGCATTTTACATGATTTGAAATTTTATATATTCTTCAAATTTTAGAATTAATCCCTGAAATGATGTGTGATATCTAAGAGGCAGATAAAAGTTATTTAATCTGTATTGTACTGTGAAGAACTGGAAGACAGAATGATGAATTTTCACTCATTTTTGTTAACTCTAGAACATTTATGTAAAAAATTCAAGTGACTTTTCATTTATATAACAAAGTTTCACTTACTTTGTGAAAAGTCAACCATAAATCAACATGTATTTTCAAATTGGAAAAATTGTTTTTAAGTTTTTAAACTTTGTATTCATAAAACTGTGTATCAATATATTTAGCTCTGATTTTTATAAGGATAAATGATGTTGTTGAGATGATCCATAATTTTTGACTTTGTCAGCATTCCTCAGGTTACTTAGATTTGAAATATTCCCCATTGCTGTCACTACTCCTTTAATTGGTAAATGAATATTATATAATATAACATAATAGAAAATATTTCTGATAAAATATTTGGTAGCAAAAGATTGGAACATGTCATTTTAAATAAAGCCTTTGATTTTTCTCTATACTTCAGTTATTTCTACTGATTTAGTACTAACATATCAAGGTAGCTGTAATTTCATTTAAAAAGAGGGTTGTTAAATTTTTTGCACTCTTAACAAAGGTGTCTAATAAAACTTTAACTTACCTTATGTTGAGCAAGTTTTGAATTAACCGAAGTTTATGTTACAGCTGTTGCATAAAAAGCCCATTCTCATAAACAAATTTCCTCAAAATATAGTCCCTCCAAAACTTCTGGAGAAATGAGAGAGTAGGTTGTTTCCAATCTTGTCTATTGTGACTAATGCTGCAATGAACATGAGATTACAGCTATTTCTTGAAGATCCCAATTTCATTACCTTTGGGTATATATCCAAAGTGGAATTGCCAGATCATATAATAGTTCTATTTTTAATTTTTTGATGAGCCTTTATATTGACCATATATATGTATTCCATAATGGTTGTACCAGTTTACCAGTTATATTCCCACCACTTGTACAAGGGTTTCCTTTTTCCACCTCCTTTCAAAGAAACCTCATTAAAGCTAGGAAAAAAGGAGAAAAGAATACTTTTATATCTACTTCAAACAAGAGACACAATTTCAACAATGTAATATCATTGGAACAATTCATAACTAGAATTTATTTCATGCCTTCCTATACCTAGGAATAAATTTGGATATGATAATCTAAAAATGTTTTTAAAGAAATAAAAGAGTAGAGGTAGGCAGTAATAGGGGTACTAGGCAGAAAGAATATTTATGAAGCCTTTGAAGTGTGAAATAGCAGGACATAGTCAAGAACTGCCAGCAGTACCACAGAGCTGGGGAAGTGGAAAAGATTAACACAGAAAAGAAATAAAAACAAATGCTAAGAGACCTCATATTGCACAGTTATGAATGAACTACAGCAGTGGTGATATAAGGATGGATAAGACATGAAGTATAGTTAGGAAGTGGAACAGACATGACTGACTTATTAGCCTTTATGTTCTTATTTTTGTATAGTTGTTACATGTCCAAGCATCAATTCCTTTACTTTGGAACATGGAAGATGGCGAATTGTGAATGGCTCCCATTATGAATACAAAACCAAGGTTGTTTTCAGCTGTGACCCTGGTTATCATGGACTAGGCCCTGCTTCTATTGAATGCCTTCCTAATGGTACTTGGAGTTGGAGAAATGAAAGACCATATTGCCAAAGTAAGTATACATGTTGCTAAACTTATTTCATAAGCCTTCCTTGGTGACTAGATTGATCACTTCCTTTTCCAAACACAGTAGAGCAATAAAGAGTATAATTAAAAGGGTCATTTATTCTCATTATGTTTTAAAATTTTCTAATTATTTTTTGTATTTGCAATGCTTATGAAAAAAAGCATAGGCTTTGGATTCAGAAATCCTGTATTTGGATTCTAAGTCTATCATTTACTACAACTATAGGATGTTTATTGTATACTTACAATTTACCAGCAGGTGCTTTTAGCCCTTTACCTGTATTATTTCATTTATTCTTTAATTTCCATTGTAGTAGTGAAAAGTAGTTGGTATTATTGTATTTATTTTATCAAAAGGAAACTGAGCCTCAGAATTATTCATTGTGCATAAGTCACAGAGCATATAAATGGTGGAGAAGGGAATTCAACCCATGCAGTCTAACTCCCATCTTTTGTTACTGTTATATAATGTATTCTTTCTCATACCAAATTTCTTAAACTAGAAAATTATGACACCTATCTCATAGTTATTACAGAGTTTTATTGGTATGACATGTTGAAAATATCAGTTAGAATCTGATTCACAGCAGGAACTCAACAAATATTTAATAAATCAAATTGGACACACTGTCATTCTCTTTCCATGCATTCTTATAAATGACCAGAGTTTAATGTAGATAATATAATTATACATGGGATATTCACATGAAATATCTTAAACTCCCTTTGAACTTCCTTCACTACATTTATTGAGTTTTTACTTTGTGTCAGGAACTATACTACTGTGAAAATTAATTATTTTAATTTGTGTCCAACACAACTCTATGGTATTTATGGCAGAAATACTTAAAATTTATAAAGTAAACTAATAAGGGAATCATAAGTATAAATGAGATTATGAAGACTAAGAAGTATAACATAGCAGGCAACTGTCTGTGTGTAATAAGTACACAAGTACCTAGCATAATTTTACTTACAAACATTCAATTCTGCAATTTATTTTCCTAATCTCCATATAAACGTAGAAATTTGGGGGTTGCATTTGTTATAAGACAATCGAATTGTATGAATTAAAATCTCAGTAATAGATATCTAAATTATATTAGGTAGTCTCAAAATATGGCATCTATAGTTGTAAATTTTTGCCCTATTCTTTTGAGTTTTCTTCCAGATCTTTCTGTTTCCAGTCTGACTGTTCTTCCAGTATAATTTCATTACAAAGGCACATGGGTTAGGGATATCCCAATGAGCTAGAAAAAAAATTATCTACAACAGAAACATTAATGAGATATTCAACAAATGTTTGTTTTTTTTGTGCATGATACTCTCTTATGTAGAAAGGTTTAATTGATACATAAGATCAGGTTCCTGCATACAGGTAAGAATGGGGGAAAGATAAGGTATCTAAATAATTCAGTTCACTGAGAAAATGGCAAAGAAGTAATTTTTCTGATCTTCCATTTATTCATCTTTTAAATTGTTAGTATTCATATGTAATAAATATAATAGTTGTCTTAAAGGATTGTTGGGGGATTAGTTCAAAACCATCAGAACATTTAAAATTTTATGTGCAACTATTTAAAATTTGCAAATATTCTATTTGTCTATCTAATGGCTACCTAAAGCCTAGGACTGAAAGCCAGAACTGGAGCTAGAGTAAAGTACTCCGGGCTGGTGTTTGAGTATTGGATTCTGGAGGTAGACTGCTGGGCTTAATATTTACAGGTTTTCTTACGTGATTAAAGTTATTTCTATGTGCCCATGTCCTAGTACATACAGTTCACATAAGGACTGCACATACCTCATGAAGTTGTTTTGAGAATTATATTAAGTTAAAGTGCTAGGAATGCTGGTACAAAGTAAGCCCTCAATAAACACTATCCATTACTGTCTTTATTCTAGAGAGACATTTCATTTGTAGTTTTTAAATATGAAGTAGTCATAAGAGCTGGTTTTTCGAATGACCTAGCAAGTCAGTCTCTCTTTTTCATTGTTTTAAACCTATAAACAAAATGTGAAATATAATTATATCTAATGGTTCCTGTGAGAATCAAATGATATTTCACTTGTAAAGCTCATTACAAACTGTAGAGTTCTCAAGAAAATTAATTGTAATTACTCTCATGTTAGCATTATCTTAGGAAATGAGGAAACTTTGGCCCAGGTAAGTCAAAGGGATTGTCCGATGTCACTTGATAAGTCAGTGAAATATTTTGAACTAATGAATTATGCTGCTTTTATTCCTGTGATATTTTAATTTTTTTTTTGCAGTACAACCTGCTGAGTGAACAGGTTGGCTAAGGAAAAAAATTCAAAGGAAACAGCATGTCACTGTCAGTTTTAATGCTTTATGGGAACTCAAGAGGATAAGTTTTAAATTATGCCATCCATTTTCTCTGCATTTTCACACTCAAGTCAACCATGTTTTACAAATGTCAATTTCAACTGTAATTATGTCAAATTATAGAGATTTCAAATGTAGAGGTTTTGTTACAAGTGACTTTGTTTTTAAGCTCTTTTCCTTTTTTATTGTTTTTAAGTTATTTCCTGTGGCGATCTACCTACACCTCCAAACGGAAATAAGATTGGAACTCAAACTTCGTATGGCTCAACAGCCATCTTCACCTGCGATTCAGGTTTCATGCTCGTGGGTTCCGCTGTACGGGAATGCCTTTCTTCAGGCCTTTGGAGTGGATCTGAAACCAGATGCCTAGGTACAGATTTTTAAATGATTTTAAACAAATTTATCTTCCCCTCTCTGAAAAGGAGGCAGTGTTCATAATATGAGATGATAACTTATATTCCCCATTAAGGATGCTAAACACCAGAAAATACTTAACTTTAAAAATGTCTCATGGTAAAAGAGCTATTTAATATAACTCTTAATCAACTAGTATGCCAAATAAGAATCTGTCATTAAGGAAAAACACATTTTCATCCAGTCATAGTGAACATAAAAAGGTGAAAACTAATTGCTGAAAATTATGCCTACACACTCAACTGGATGAAGTGCTATAGCAGTTAATTCATTCTAACCCATAGTCAATTCTCCTTTCACCTATTTGCTTAAGGAAATGACTAAAGGAGAAAAACAATTTCCACATTTATGTATCTTTTTTTATCTATCTATCCATCTATCTATTTATTTATTTAATATGAAATATCTTTCTCCTTTTTTATTTCATAAAATTTCAGCATGTGTAATCTCACTTTGTAGTAAAACTTAAAAAAATATTTCAAAACTTATTTTAGGCAAATAGGATTTTCCCCCACCTTAGGGTTTTCTTTGAATTCATTATATAAAGTGTTAGGTAAAGTGAACTAGCTAGTCCTTCTTACCCCTCCTCTTTATTTTTAAAAGAATGTTATGATTTAAGCTTTCTCTCTTTTTCAAAGACTTCAATAATTTCTTTAATGTTAAAAGAACAGTAAGATTTATGCTTTATTTTTCTCTAATAATGGTTTAAAGAAATGACAGCAAATATTAAATTAGATATAATGAAAATTGTTCTAATAATTATTCACTTGAATGTTGAGAATAAGGAATAATCTTTTTGTTTACTAATATAAAAATTACTACTCTAAACAAGAGTGTTGCTAAATTTATCCAATGCTTTGTCTCTAAAATTTTTACTACTTAAGAATATGACACTTGACAGAAAATTCTAAACTGTAGCATTTTAAATACATATTATTTTGCTAATAACTTGAAAATATTCCTAGTAATAAAGTCATTATTTGAATCATTCCTTTTTTTCCCTTTCAGGCATATTTGTTAATACGTATACTTGGAAACCTAGCAACACTGGTTTCTTTATAAGAGCACATATATTTGGAAATTTGTATTAACATATGATCTAATAATCAAATAAAATATTTCTTAACAGTTCCTAAACTGATACTGGTTATGCTGATTTCAGTTACAGATTGCCTAGTTTATTTATAAATGTGAAAATGTATTTGTAAACTCAAATACTGAGGTTTACACACTTGGAGTCAGTGGGTGGCCCATATGGTAGAATCTAATTTCCTGGAAAATATCTCAAAAATACATGAGTCAAGAGTTTATCTGTGGCCTTGATGGGGAAATAAGAGCTCTGTGTCTGTTTAGTTTGCTTTACCGTGGTTTGCAAACTCCCACTTTTTAAAATCTCTAACTACCCAGTCTAATTCCCAAAAACTGGGTCATAATTGAACCTCACACTAGTTCATGATTAAGGGTCTGAGGGACTTCATCAAAGGGTGAGGGTTCCCTCAGTTTCAATTTCAGACAGTATAGTCTTAACATCTACTGTAAATTCAAAAGGATGTTGGCAGAAGGAAATAACTGCCAAACAAGCAAATCCTAGAATCTTATACTTAGAACTGACCTGGAGGATTCATGTAGTCCAGTCTTTCTCATATTTGAAAACCATTTGTCCCTATAGCCCTAAACACTTTGGACTTGGAATGGTCACTAGAATGTGCTTATGTTTCTCTAAAATAAATACATTTCCCCCCAGTCCCATAGCATATTATGAATATTTTTCAGTTTTTCAATTGAAATACTTGACAGCCAACACCATATGCCCACACCACCTAGGTTCTACAATTAGCATTTTGTCATATTGGTCAATCACATAATCTGTCCATCCTTCCAGGCCTCTATCAGTCCATCAATTCATTTTATGTTTTGATCCATTTTGAAGTAAATAACAGAATTCACTGTATACTTCATAGTACAGTACACTTCATTGTTAAACATTTCAGCATATGTATCTTACCATTCTCACTTCTTTTTTTACTGTGGCAAAATATATATACAATGAAGTGCACAAATCATAAATATAGTGTTAGATGAGCTTTGACCAGTATGTGCACCTGTGTAACTCAGACCACTCTGTATTTGTAGAGCATTGCTCAGGGAAAAGTTCCCCGTGGCCTTTCACAGTCCCACCATGCTTCATAACTGTTCTAATTTTTTTTCACCGTATCAGTTCACCCTATTCTAGAAATTCATAGGAATGGAATCCTAAAATATGTACTCCTCTGTGTAAGGCTTCTTTCATTCTCTTTCATACTTGTTGCTTTTCCATGATTTGTGTTTTTTATTGCTGAGTAGAATGCCAATACATGAATATGCCACATGTTAGCCATTCCCCTGTTGAAGGACAATGGAGCTCTATCCATTTTGGAGCTATGAAGAGTTAAGCAGCAATGAATATTCATGTGAAAGTCTTTTGTGGGCATATGAATTCATTTTTCTTGGATCTTCAGCAATAAAATTCCTTAGATTTCTGGTTGTCCCACATTTCCTCTGGCAAGTGGTATAATCAGTCTTTTACTTTTATCCATTCTGTTGAGTGCATAAAGGTATCTTACAAGATTTTAATTTAATTATTGTTATAGTATAGTTTCTTGGACTTGTTGGCCGTTTGTACATTTTCCTTTGGGAAATGATGAAATATCTTTTATATTCCCTTTTACTATGAACTATGAGAGTTCATTATGTATTCTGGCTGCAAAGCCTTCATTAGTATGTGTTTTATGGATATTTTCTCTTAGCCTGTGACTTGCCTGTTCATTTCCTAGTGGTGTCTTTTGATGAGCAGAAGTTTTAAGTTTTGGTAAAGTCTATCTTATCTTTCATTTTTTTCCCCATTCTGTTACTACTTTCTCTGTCTTGTTTTGGAAACCTTTGTTCAGACATAAGACTCAAAGATTTTCTCCCATGTTTTCTTCTAGAAGTTTTAGTTTTTAGTCTCACTTTTTCATCTATGATTTGCCTTTAGTTTGTTGTTATATGAAATATGAAATATGAAGTAAGGTTGAGATTTTTTATTTTTCTGAAAGGGTATCTGGCACTATTGAATATCTTGAAATTTTGTATAGAAGTTCTTCAAATTTGTTCTTAATTTTCAAGATAACTTTGGATACCTTGCAATTTCACATAAGTTTTAGAATTAACCTGTCCATTTTTATTTTAAAAAGTCTGGTAGGTCTGTGATCAGGCATGTATAGATTATTTAGGGAAAATTGGCATCTAACAATACTGAGTCTTCCAATTCAAGAACATATATATTTAGTATGTTAATTTATTTACATCTTAAATTTTTTTAATAACAATATTTTATATTATCATAGTTTATAGGTGTGTATTGCTAAACTTATTCTCCAGAATATTTAATGTGTTTACACTATTTTAAGTGGAATTGTTCATTTTTTAAGATACACTTTCCAGTTGTTTACTGATAGTATATAAAAATATAATTATTTAAAATATTTATCTTATATCTTATACCTGGCTAAATTCACTTATTAGTTTTAGGATTTTCTTAAAATAAATTTTATATTAAATAATAATAATATTTTCTACATATACATCACCTAAACATAAAATAGATTTACTCTTTTGTTTCCCAAAAGTCTGCTTTTTCTTTCTTCCTTTGTATTAATAATGTATTGCACTAGTTAGTGGCAATCAAGCATTGTTGAGTAGAACTAGTGCAAGTGGACACCCTTGTCTTGCCCCACATACAGGAAACAATTCAGTATTTCACCTGTAAATATACTGTTAGCTGGAGGGTTTTCTTAGATGTCTCTTGGTGTTCTAATACTCATTTTTGAACAACAAGCAATGCTGTGGACAGTAGCTCAGTGTTCTACAGTTCAGCTCAGTTCTGACACTTTCTACCCAGAGATAGCATCAGATTATGCAGGTTAAGGGCTCAGTTCAAGGCTGTCTGTCCCCAAACCCATCATCAGATGCACATTGGAAGCCCAGGTTTGGCACCTGTGCTTCTGACTGACTGGCTGTATATCAGAGGCTCCCACAACCCATCCTTGGACTTTATTAATTTGCTAGAGCAGCTCACAAAACTCAGAGAACCATTTTACTTTCTAGAACACCAGTTTGTTACAAAAGGAACAGCCAAATGTTAGAGATATGTTTAGGACAGAGTACGTGAGAAGGGCGTGGAGCTGCCACGCTGTCTGAGTGTGCCACGCTTCCCAAACCTGCACATGTTTGCCAATGGAGAAATACTCTGAACCCTTTCTTTTCAAGTTTTTATGGAGGCTTCATTGCATACGCATGATAAATTGAATTATGGCAATTAATTCAACCTACAACCCCTCTCCTCTCACCAGGGTCACAGGGGTGGGACTGAAAGTTCCAATCCTCAGCTAACAAGGTCTGCTTCAACGGCAGCTAGTCCCATCCTTAGGTCAAGTCCAAAGGTCACTTTATCAACGTATCAGAAGACACCTTCGGTACTCGCATCATTTAGGTACTTTCCACTGGTTTTAGGAGCTCTCTGACAGAAAGGGAGACCAAACTAAATATATATTTCTTATTGTAAATCACAATATCACAGATGTCTTTATCAGGTTGAAAAATTCCCTTATTTCTTAATTTGTTGTCATCATGAATTGGCACTGAATTTTCTCAAATGTTTTTTCTTCATCTGTTAAAATAATCATGTACTTTTTTCTCTTTTACTGTGTCAAGATGGTAAATTATAGTGGCTGCTTTTCCATTTAAACCAGCTGTTCATTTCTGGATAATCATGATGTATACTTCTAGGTTATTTTCTAGAATTTTTGTTAGAGTTTTGCACCTGTGTATAAAGGAAACTGGTTCCTCCATGTGGTTTTTCCAGGTTTACTACCGGAGCTATGATTACTCATAAAACAAGTTATGAAGTGATGTTTTCTCATATATTTTCTAAAAGACTATGTGTAATTTTTTTTCCTTTTTTTACCTAAATATTTGAATTTTCCAATGAGAACACCAGAGCCTGAGTGTTAAAGAACTATACATATTATCTATTTTATCTTGTGTTCATTTTGGTATGACATGATTTTCAAATACTTCGCCCAGTTTATCTAAACTCTTAAATGTGTTGGTTCTGTTGTCAGGAAAAACAGTCTGGGGAGGTCTCGTGCACTAGGTGAGACCTCAGCTCGGGAGGGGATTCTTGTCTCTGATTGGGAAAGAATTCACTAACAGTGGAACAGATACTAGCAAAGAGAAGTTTAATAAAGCAGAAGTGCACACTCAAGGAAGGAGTGGGAGCATGTTCAAGAGGCGAGCCTCGTGGTGAGGGGCAGTTTGGATAGTCGTATAGCTCGAGTTTAAGCAGGGATGTGATACAGTACTCACTGGGATAGGTGGGATTTTCTCAGAATGGGAGGACTTTCTGGGGAATCGAGTGACACTCTCTTCTCATTCTCTTTTCGTCCTGATACAGTCAGTCTCAGAGCTGTCATGACACAAAGGAGTATGATTTTTAGTACACTAAGAAATATGTAATGAGCTTTGGGATAACTGTAGGTTACCTTTGTTCTCCATCCCAAATCTAGTTGGTTTGAACCAGCTGGAACTGCATTTTGTTTTGCCTTAAGTTACCTTCCTAGGATCTAGCCAATTTGTTTTCGCTTAACCTGTTCTGCCAGCTGGGCACATGAATTGGCCTTAAGGCTTTCCTGAGTTGCCAGGGCCTGGCTCACTTGCTGAACTACACTGCCTATGTCAGTTCTTTGTATTTCCTTCTAATTTTCCCATTTATCCTTTTAACTTCTGCAAACTTACAGCAATATAATTTCATTCATTCCTGTTACTGGTAATTTTGTTCTTTTTTTTTGTGTGTGTTGTGAGGATTACTTAGACATTTAACAATTTTGTTCCAATTTTTAAAGGAAAATATTTTAGCTTAGATAATGTTCTCTATTATTTTTCTACTTTCTATTTCCTTGATTTCTGTAACTGTCTTTAACATATCTTTCTATCTACTTACTTCAGCTTTATTTTCTCTTTTTTCTTGTTCCTCATTTTCCTCTTTTTAAAGTTTAACTGTAGGTCATTGATTATGTCCTTTATCCTTTTTAATAAAAATACTTGATACTGTAAATTTCCCCACCAAGCACTGTTTTGTCTGTATTCCTCAAATTTTGATATGTTACATTCTTATACAGATTGAAATGCTTTATAATTTCTTCTGGACTCAGGTGTTACTTGAAGGGTGTTTTCTTTTAATTTCAAATATTTGGCATTTTATCTTATAGTAATCTTTATGTCATATAATCATGTTTGCATTTAGTATGCTTGTTAGTGAACTTTAAAGTTTACATATATAAGCAAATACAACTATTAAATGTAAATTTATGTGATATTTATATACAAATAAATCTTAGATCACAATACTAAAAATATTATTTTCTGACCTATGTCAGCGGGTCACTGTGGAATTCCAGAACTCATTGTGAATGGTCAAGTCATTGGAGAGAATTATGGATACAGAGACACAGTTGTCTATCAATGTAATCCAGGCTTTCGATTGATTGGATCTTCAGTGAGAATATGTCAACAGGATCACAATTGGTCTGGCCAACTCCCGTCCTGTGTGCGTAAGTAAGCATGGCAGCAGTAATCACAGACCTCTGCTCCCACGCAGTTACTAATAATTTTTTCTTAGGTAAGATATATAAATGTATACATACACACACACAGAGGAATGTGATTGTGTGTGTCTGTGTGTGTATACATATTTAAAGATGCAGGCATAAACAATTCTTTTATTTTATTTTATACTGCTATAACTGGCATGTAATACCATTCACTATGAAAGCAGAAGAAAATATAGTTATTTATGTTTCATCATAAAGACACAAAAGTAAATTCAGCGATTTCCATATTTAATATAAATATATAATGTTTATAAATGAATAGTCCTATACGAATGTGCATTCTTCACAGATTTTTCATTATAAAGATTTTAATTTCTGAAGATTGTCAGTGGCATCGATATTGTGATATGATACTATTGAACTTTTTATAGTGGAAAATACTTTGGATAAATATTTTCCAATAATTATGATGCTATAGTCATTGCATCAGATCTTGATGGAGTATAATTAGTGACAGAAAATATCATCAGACATGACATGGAGAACCATTGTTCTCATTTTGGTTCCACTGCTAATTACATGAGCCAATGCAAGTCATTTAATCTCTCTAAGCCCTAATTTCTTTGAATAAAGTGAATGGTTAAAAGTGTTTATCACTATGGCCCCTTTTGTTTCAAAATCTATTCTATTCTTTAATACATCAAGATTATACAGCTACATAATTATAATTTCTCATAAAATATTATATGAAATATTTAAATTTTTAAAAAAGTTTTATTTTAAAACCCTCTTTACACTATTTTTAAATTTATTCAAAATTGTATAAGTAATTTTGGAATTGTTTTAATAAAATATCTCACCAGTTCAATAAATAGCCATCTGATCATTTAAACTAATTTAGATAGGATTCATATATGAAGAATAAAATGGATCTTAAAAAAACCTTTTTAATATTATTCTTTAAATACATATGGCTGTATTCTATGATTACTTTTTATATGGCTTAGGTTTGTCCATTGTGCCCTTATATGACTGTTATACCATAAAAAATAATAATATAGTGAAATAATGATAATTCTATTACTTTTACTTGCTCCACTAAATCCCCAGCAGTATATAATGTTTCATATCAGTATCTTATTTTGGACTTGTAAGTCAATTATCAATGTGTTTCTTGTATTTTTTCTCCTAATTATTCCCATCCCCAATGTTGTATTAAAATTGGAATTCGAAAATGAAAATAAATACTCTAAGTATGTTATACTACTTGTAACATCATATGATCAGGTAGTAGAGATTTTGACCGCTGCAGATAAATAATGCATGGGACCTGTATTATGGATTCACAGGAATTACTTCATTTATTCTGTGACTGATTACATCCATATTTATAGTTCCATCATTGTCAAGATTTTATCCAATCAACAAAAATTTATTGGAATTCTAGTTTCATGGAAATTACTTTCATGTGTTGAGATTTAATAGGATGATAGAGCATATAGTTAACAATTAAAATTACTTTTCTAAGATATACCTCTGCACATGCATGCACACAGAAACACGTACACAGACTGATGATTTAAAGACAGCAGTATTATGATTGTATCTGTCCTATATGTCTCTCCTTTCATTTATATTCAAGCAAAGCCAACTAATACCACTGATTTTCTTATTGAATGACTGAAGACTATAAATGAAAATTGGCCCTTGGGGTAAAACTGAGTTCTTTATTGATAATTGCAACAAGAATAAGATGCAGTTAAATTTCCAAATGAGTAGGTTGACATTAACAGTATAGCTGAAAAATAATTGCTCTTGGGTCGTTTCGAAAGTCCTAAAAGTGACTATGGTCTTTCACTGTTTCCAATTATGAAACGCTATTACAGGAGTTGCTCTTATTAATAGAGTGGGATGAGGCAATAAAGCAGTTCATAGAAATGCAGAGTATTTGGGAAAAGCCAATACTACTAGAATAGAAGAATTACAACACTAAAAGGACAATCCATCTGATACATTTACAAAAAAATGGTGCTAAATTATAAAATATCAGTTGTGAGGAAAATAAATCAGTAAGGTTGACATACTGAGAATTCTAATACAGTATCGTGCGTATTTGTCATTCTCTACACTATGTGGTCACATTAAATTATTCTTCAAGCACACTTGCTTATCACTCTATAATGCATAAAAATTGTATAAATACTATTAAAATAAACTATTTCAAATTAAATACAACAAAATCTACCTTTTAGTATATTCAGTTCTTAAACTTAACTAGAAAAGGAAAATCAGTTCAATTTAATTTCTTTCTGCTACTAACTAGTAACATAACTTCAATCATTCCCACATTCGTTGAAATTTTAGTATTCGACCTAAAAAACAATAGAATGAAAAGGTACCTAAAACTAATTATCTCTGACCCCTCGCATGAAATTGTTAATCATTGTCTATATACTCATTTTCCTATTATTGTAGCTTCTTTTGACATTCTCAATCATTCCATTGCATTAGTAAAAGTACTTTAAATATACCTTCACATAAAAGTGGTCTTCTTTCTATGTTGTTTGATGTGATTAAATCTGTTATGTAATAACTGAAACATTCTGTTTTGTGTTTTCCCCCTCCCCCACCCACTGCTATCAGCTGTTAGCTGTGGTCACCCTGGTAGTCCAATTTACGGAAGAACAAGTGGAAATGGATTCAATTTTAATGATGTGGTAACATTCTCTTGCAATATTGGGTATCTTATGCAAGGACCAACAAAGGCGCAGTGCCAGGCCAACAGGCAATGGAGCCATCCTCCCCCAGTGTGCAAAGGTGAAAGTCTGAATATAGTCCCCTTTAGAGTATGACAGTAATGTGTCTGTGAAAATATAGATGATTACATTTGAAATAGCTTGGGCAGAACAGTAGGAATTTTTCAGCGAATAAAACAAAAAAGATCTAATGTTGACACCATCTCTTCAGCAATGCTTTCCTTTTTCCTTAATTTTTAACCTTTCTTTTAAAGTTAAACCTGGTAGGCCTTATTTCAGCTGCTTAACTTTATTGTCTTGTACCCATTTTATGACTGCATATAAAAAGTCATTAAGATCATTTTACTTATGATGTGCTTCATAATTAATGGAACTTATATTTGGCATTTATTTTCTTCATATATTTGGAAAAACTATGAGGTCTGAATAGCCATGATACTTGTGTTGGGAATTTATTTATTGCTTTCTCAATAGAAACAGATCAAAGAGAATTTTTTGATCTTTGTCCATTTTGCAAAGCATATCACATCATAAAAAAACAACCAAGCTACCATTTTTCTACATTTATTATGGTTTAACTGTAGCTGAAAGGCATCATTCTTTAAATCTGTACTCGGTATAATACTTATGGAGTTACTATTGTTCAAAATATTTTTGCAAAAGTCTTCCTTTTTTTTTTCCATTTCAAACACACGGTTTTCACATCATTATCTAGATTACCAACTTTTATTCCTGAAAACTTTGGTTAGTTTAGTTAAAATTTACCTTTGAAACTAAATTCCTATATTTCTAATATTATTCTATGTAGGTATATGTATATTATTCCAAACATACCTTTCAAAATTTGTCATTTGCTTAGTGGTGAACTGTTCTGATCCTGGAATTCCTGCCAATTCCAAAAGAGAAAGTAAAATAGAACATGGAAATTTTACGTATGGCACTGTGGTGTTTTATGACTGCAATCCTGGATATTTCTTATTTGGATCTTCAGTTTTGATATGTCAGCCAAATGGACAGTGGGACAAACCTTTACCAGAATGTATCAGTAAGTAGATAATGTGAATTCTTCTCAAGAAAATGCCATGGAAGCTACATGGATATTCATTTTCTTATAAAAGATCGAAAGCTATCTATCAGATGGATTTTGTTTTTAATTATTACTTTATTTTTCATATCCTTATATTCTGCTGATTGAATGCACAATTGCCATTTTTATTAGTATTAGGGTGATGAATATATCTCTATCATTCTTTGATTTTGAACTTTAACAGGGCAGATAGAAAATGACAAGTAGATATCTTTCATACTCTATGATATTACTATAGTAAGAGGCAAATACATTTCTATTTTCTTTTGTACTAATATTTCAAATTTCATTTAAGGCAATATTAGTCTTAGTGTAAACAGTCATCAGGGTTTCAGAATACTTGAGGACTTAACAAAGCCATTGACTAAGACTTATTGATCTTAAATATTTGTCATATGAGGACACATACTCATATGAATGCAGTAAGTGTTAATACATATTGTCTTTCAAGTCAGTGAACATTTGAATGTGTTTTGTTGTATGTTGTATTGGAGTTGTAGAATATAAATAAATTATAGCAGATACATATATAATTAACATGTACATTGAGAAAATGATTTAAGAGAAATAAATAAAAATTTTGTGAGAATGTAGAGTAGTGAATATGAATTCTAGGAATTCAGTCAGAGTGTAGGTCTCAGGTACAGCTACATCTCAAGGAATTAATGAATCTTGGACATGATATGAACAAATCCTTACAGATCAAATGAGTAGCATGTCAAGAAATCATTGTGCAAGTAATTCTTGGTGATATGAAATTTCTACTGTATGAAAGTATTTTATGATTATGTTTTCCTTAGAGGTAATTTATGTTCATGTGGTGTGATTTTTCAAAATTTTGTGAGATCATACATGTACCCATGAAGAAACAAAACTTCATGCTACGTCTATTAAATATCAGATTCTATGCAAATAATTAAGTCAGTTGTTGACCCATGGCTTAAATGTATTTGATTTCTTTTTCTACAAAACTACTGCTCTAGTAGTTTGACTAATTCACTTACTTGGCCTTTTGTGGCTCTAACAATAATCAAAAATCTTCCATAGGACATGTAAACATGAACTTCCCCAGCTTTTCTTAGCTCTCTTACACTTTCCACCTTTCTTTATTTCCTGGAGTAATTAGTGGTAGTGTGCTAAGTACTCAAGGGTTTTATTAAGGTTATGTCTCCTTGTCTGCTATTTAAAATTCTAGAATCACATTGCACTCAATATTTTTCCAAGTTACAACTAAAAGTGGGCACACAGTAAATTCCCAAGATGCCTCTAGTTTATAAATTATATACTATACTGACATCTTCTGCTGTGCTTAGCAGTGTTTTGGTTATTAACAAAGCCACAAGTATTTTCCTTGTATAGCATAGTTTATTCAGTAATGGCCTGGGATGGAATTATTCTAGACTACATATCAGATGGTGTGTGACACATCCATCTTCATTCCCTTTCCTTTACCCTCAAAGTTCTTTCCCTTTGATTTCTAAAGGGGTTCATTTTCAATCATATATTGCATGCTATGTCCTTATTTAGCCAATTCTTGTTACTGTTATCCCTAACTTGCACATTCTTGTGCAGACATATAAATACTTCCACCCCATGTACATATACCCCACACATGCAGACTTACACTCTCAATCATGTATGTTTACCCAAAATGTTCCTGTTAAACTTATGCTCATGGTGAATGGGTTAACAGAATTGCTCCTACAACTGCAACTTCCATTTTATCTTTTTAAAAGCCATCTTTCACTTACATATTTGATTTCTGGAACTTGGGTATTTTTAAGCAGATAATTTACTTTAATTTATTTTATAAAAAGTTGGTGCAGGTTGTTCGATAGGAGATATAAAAAAATTTTATATTCAATAATTATGTATTGTAGTGGTTGACTGTGGACACCCTGGCGTTCCTCCTAATGCAATCCTGTCTGGTGAGAAGTATACCTTTGGGTCCACTGTTCACTATTCCTGCACAGGAAAGCATACCCTTCTAGGCCAGTCATCAAGGACTTGCCAATTAAATGGACATTGGAGTGGATCACAACCTCATTGTTCAGGTACCCCTTGGAGAATCAGGAAATGTGTGTTAGAAATTACATTATTATTATTATTATTAGCAATATATACACAAAACGATCTAAAGAGTTAAAATAACACAATTATCTTTTTAAAATTTCATGACAGAAACTGTAACATTGTTTATACATTTATTAGAATAATTCTTAAGGTAATATAAGTTCAGACTGAAATACTTATCTTGTCAATGGTAAATTACAGTTATATGTTTTGAACTGTGTTGTGGATAATGGTTTTAAGATGCTACTCTGTGTAAAGTGGTTGTGTTCCTTAAAATGATAAACTGCTCAAGTTTAAGTAGCTATTGCATGTTAACAGATACAAAATAGTTTCCCTGAGAAGGCAATATTATATCAGTGATTTTCTGTTAAAGGTCAGTTCTATTAAACTTTATACACAATTGATTACTTAATAGCATACCTTTTAATAAAGCCCTAAATATTTTGAATTAAAATAAATCAAGTTTTATGAAAGATATGTATCTATCCTTTGTTTATTAGTAGGCAATATATAATGCCCAAGTATCTATAACTGCAATAATTATTTTTAATTAAGTGAATAGTAAGTCTATTTTCAATTGATAATTTGTTTACAGAGTATTTGAGAAATCTTTTTGAACTAATTAAGCTACTGCTTTTCTTCAAAAATTCAAGTTTTAGATCTGTAAGTTCTCCCTGTTTGATACTACTTACTCTATTTATTTTGACCCATTGACCAGTTATTGGTGCTTACTTTTTTCACTGTTTTATTGGTATATTGTCCATTATCTTTATATTATTTTATATCAGTGGAAATCATTCTGATAGCTTTTTACTTGTTTTATATTTTTTTCCCTTTAAGAGGTAAATGTAAAACAGTTACTTCTTGCAGAATCTCCTTATAACTATCGTTAATCCCTATGAAGTGACTTCCTGGGACTTTAAGTTTAATCTATAGATCTAAAAATCTATCATTTTTGAGTATGACTGTACAGTTGATTTTAATGAAAATTAAAACTCTTATCTTGAAGTAACAGTTTATTAACTTACTCAACTGATTATCCATAAAAAACACATAAACTTACACACATACATCCCAATGTATTAGGAAACTGCTACTGAAGTGCACAGATATTTAAAAGTGAAATACTGATCTTAAAGTTTTGTGTGGTTGTTAGTATTACATCACATGAAAATGAGTTGCAAGAAGGATTCCAAATACACAGGATATGTCAAAGAAGGCCTCCAGACAGACAGTATTTTCAGTGCTTAGGTATTCAACTTTCCCTCCCTCTCTGTCTCTCTCTTAATATCTACTAATCCTGTGGCAACTTCGGTTAGAATTATTTAAGAAATGATAAAGGGACTGAGTAAATCCTTAACCCTAAAATAAAAAATGAACATGTAAATATGAACAAAATATTAAGTTCCTTAATAGGAACTTACATCAGAGTTCTACTATTTGGATGTTTATAAATTATTTTTATATTTCCATATGTGAGAAGTATGCAGTTCATTTATCTATGGTTGGTGGTCCTTATGGAGAAAATTAAAGGGTGGAAGTTTAGGCTACAAAAAATACTATATTGTAACATTTACATTTCCAACACACCACAGTTCTAATTAAACAAACAAAAAAAAAGATTTGTAGTAATTAGGAAATTCAAGGAAGGAAACATGTAAATTACCAAACCTAGTTTTTTAATTTTAGTTTTATAAATCCATTGCTATTTGAGTTATAAATTTTTCACTAGCTTGGTTATTAATCAGGTTCTGGAAATACTAATGACATGTCCTTAACCTATTTAATAACTCCCATTATCACTGATATGAAAAATAACACCATAATCTGCAGTGATTTTCTTTTCCATGTAGTCTTTTTCTTATGACAGAAGTCAGATGGGAAATAATGGATTATGCTTTTATCCAGTCAACTTACCATGTTAAAACAGAGCATGCACAAAAACAAATGCCCTCAGGAGTGTTGAGCTAAGTCGTGGACAGAGCAAATGTTCATTGAAATAACTTGAACTGTACTGTATTACAGGTGATGCTACTGGTACCTGTGGGGATCCAGGTGCTCCTGGTCATGGTTCTAGACAGGAAAGTGATTTTAGAACTAAAAGTTCTGTTCGTTTTGCATGTGATAGTGGTTATATCCTTCATGGCTCAGAAGAAAGAACATGTTTAGCCAACGGCAGTTGGACTGGAAGGCACCCAGAATGCAAAGGTAATTGCAAACAGAAACTAAATACATAGAAAGTGCTGGAATTTAATGTGTATACAAATTTGGTTGGTTACTACTAGTGAAATTACTACCATTTCTTCCTATCGTCAACCATGGAATCAAAGCAATAGTATTCCAGTTTTGCTAACACCATCCTTTAAGAGAGCTTTGTAGGTAATAATTATTTAGAAAATATCTCCTATGGGTTATTTATAAGTAAACATTGTTTATATCATAGCAAACGTCTGTATTGGAAAAGTTAACATTATTTTTTTACTCCTTTATATCACCATGCTCTATATCATAGACACTGTCAAAAAAAATAATAAGTTGTATTTATATCAATATTACTTTAAGATCTATTTTATTTTTCAGGTTTGTAGAAATGTAAAAATATAGAAAGATGCCTAAACAATCAATGAGATTTTTATTTATAGAATACAATTTCTAGTAACTAAATTCTTATAATTTTGGGTGTTTGAATAAAATTATTAATTGTTCTTATTGACTCAAAGATAATATAATTAAATCTTTACAAGATTGGCTAGAAAGTGAAATGTTGGAAAACTATCATTTTAATTTAAATTGTTTGTTTTGAGTTAATTTTAATGCAGAAACTATTTATGATAAAAAATTATTTGATGTTATGCCAAATGTAATGGTTTTATAAATAGGAAATAATTCCCAATAGAATTTTCTTGACAATTTTTTGACTCATTGTATTTCAGAAACTTTTTTATTATGTTTAAAATTAGTATCCATATTCTAGGAAAGGCAGTTATCTTTTTTATTAACTGAACCAAATTTAAGAATCTTAAAAGAGAGTTGCAACTCAGTTACTATTATGAGAGGAATTGAGGAACCAAGTTGTTGAGTGAAAGACAGTAAGACTCAACTGTTCACATTATTTCTCAAACTAATTTTCCAAAAGCAAAATCTCTGTAATGATGTATATTACATGAGTGATAGCTAAGCCAACCTTTTGTTCAGATGAACTGCAGAATACTCTTTAGATGAAATGCAACCTGGTGCTGTTTGTTAGTATACACATTATGGATAAAACATACCTAAGAGTTGTAGCAAATATAAGAGAATTAATAGTTTTCTCATAAGTGGAGCTCATACAAGTCATTTAGAAAAACAGATTCTAGTGGGTGAATGGATAGAGGAAATAAACAGATAATACAGAACAAAAGAACATTGCAACCTTATAGAAAAAATTTCTGCATACTTAACAGAGAATTTTAACTATCAAGTCATCATTTTAAACTGTTTTAAAATGAAATTGTGATGTGTGTTCAGCAAAAAACGAACTTTATAATATTTCCAGAGGATTTTACTTTTATTTTGAGACTAATTTGATGAAATGCATTTATATTTATACAGTATATATAGCTTTGATTTATGAATTCCACTTTTCAGGATTTTTTCTTAAGGAAAATAAAATATTAAAGAACACAATCATAAAGATACATTTTTAAATTTCTAATTGATTATAGCAACAACTGAAAAGAACTAAAAAATGGAAAATATTACACAAGAAATCATGTATTTACATGATGTAATTGTGTATAGTCAATAAAATATTGTTATAAAGGCCATGAAGCAATATGAGAAAGTGTAAACCATATAAAACTCAATGCAAAAATAAGATTCAAAATTATACAGTCTGTTAAAATTATAGAAAATTATATCCATTTGAAAGAAAGTATTAAAGGCAATATACAAAAAATGATAATACAACAGAGTGGTGAACTTTATAGTATACCCAAATGTTTTGCAATGGTATATTACTTTAATAACTTTAGTTATAAAACATAAAAGCTTTCCTAGAAACAAATATGAAAACAAAAGTATCAAATGCATGTGTTAAAAAAATTTAATAAATAGAAAAATGCAGATTTAAAGATTATAGCATTTTTTAACAAGCTGACAAAGTTTCTAAAAATGACAGCACATTGTGTTGGAGATGTGTGACAGCAAGCAAATTTTTACACTGTTGGTACAAGTGCATGTTATTATAATATCTTGGGCAGCAATATATGCTTTAAAAATTAAAAATACTTTTCAAAAATTAAAATTATCCAGAAATTCCACTTTCAGAAATTTATCTTAAAAACAGACCAGTGTACACAGTTGTGTAGATAAGCTAAAGTATATAATAACCAAAATTGAAAGAGAAATAAAACTAAACAATGTTTCATGTTATCAACAGGGGATTGGTTAGGTAAATTATGAATTTTACATATAACGGAAAAGTATCCTCTTTTTAAACTTTATGAAAGAAAGATGTCCTAATTATAATGTTAAGTAGGAAAACTACGATTATGAAACAGCATAGTTCTATTTTTAAAAATGGTAAAATGTTGGTACTGTGTACTCTGTACTTAGCACAATGCCTGAAATAAACATCAAAATTAATGCATATATCCATTTATGTGTATGTATATTTATACATACATATGCATCTAAGTATATATATAAATACTTTATCGAATGTTGTCTCTTAGTGGGAAATTTGTAAGTGATTTTTAATTTCTTCCTAATACTTTCATTTATTTTTTAATACTCTAGAAATAGCTACTTTTCACCTTGATAAAAGGAAAAAAAATTACAGTAATTTTAAAATAAAAATTTTCTCTAGCAACAAAAGGCCAACATATAAAATATTCTTCATATAACATATCATTCACCCAAAAATTCAACTGACAAAAATATATTTAAGCCATTCATTTACCAGCCTAAGATCCAATACTCTCATTATATGAGAATCAACCTCAGGAACTTGTACTAGATGAAAATTCGCCATTAACTAGCTATGTGATCTTGGGCAATTTACTTAATCTCTGTGGGCCTTAGTTCCCTTCCAAGAAATGGTAGTGTTATTCTCTTAGCATCTCTGTAAGGTTGAACAATACCGGAAATGTTGCAGCTATCACATAATACGTGCCCAACGAATGTTGTATTAGGTCAGTTGACAGCTGAAAAATTACTCTTTCTCAGAGAGATGGCTTTGTCAGCAAGGTCTAATCATAAGAGACTCCATTTACATGCAACGATAAGCCCCACTTCCCCTAATATCAGTATTACAGAGGCAAAGTCATTGCTGCTTGTCTTTACTGTGCCCACAACGCTTTCAACTCTCAAGATAGATGATGCAAGCATTTTAAGTTAATTTTACTTGTGTTTAATTTAAATAATATTCAGGGTAAGAGAAATGCATGGAATATGTATTGTTTTCTAATATTCATACATATGCACAAACATACAATACCACTATAAAGCACTTAAATATTCAAGATGCAGCAAGTGATATGCAAAGCACTCGATGAAACTGTAATTATACTTCATATTCATAAAGATAGCCTTAAATTCATAATGTACTAAAATGCCTTCTTACAACAAAATTTAGTATTGATTTTGACATTGGCTTTCTTTTAAGATATTTTAAAAATTCACTTGTGGCACTGATGGCAAAGAGTTAAACATAATACAGAATAGTTAATCATATAAGACATTTGTGTTTGTGACTCCTATTTAAGGTACATCAAAACTTAATAGAGTTTATGATACATTGAAACATAAATAGAGATTATGAAGTTTAAATGCAAATCAGTTATATATACTTACATTAATAAAAATGCACATAGGTACTTACAGTATTTAAGTTAGTTCTTTTATATCTGTCCTCTTAAATGTATAATTGTAATAAATCTGTGTTGCATCTCATTATTACAGATATCGCAGTTCTAAATGAGTTGCTTTTTAGGCAGAGACTCTTATAATCCTTCTTTGAAAGATATTGTGGTATCCAAAGGCAAGACTCTCCATTAATTACTTTGTAAAGTTTTTACCAAAGCTAATAACAAAGTCTTAAAAAATAACTGTTGTGAGATTTGCCTTCTAGTAAACTAATAAAATCAATTTGAATTCATCTTGAATTTCAGTGATTTGTAAAAGATAATTCAATGCTTATTTTAGAGGATTTTATAGCTCCTTTAGATAATTTGAAGTCATTAATTTTTTGTTACAAGATTTCTAATTATACTATATATATATATATATATATATACACTCTTAAACATTTTGTTTTGTAGCTGTACAGTGTGGTAACCCAGGAACAACAGCCAATGGAAAAGTCTTTCGGATTGATGGCACAACATTTTCTAATTCAGTCATTTATTCCTGCATGGAGGGATATATCCTTTCTGGACCTACAGTTAGACAGTGCACAGCCAATGGAACATGGTCTGGAACCTTGCCTAACTGTACAAGTAAGTTTCTTCTCAATATTTTTAAATATTCACAGTTATGTGAAAACATTTGAATATATAAATGAGTATGTGTGTGTTTTGTAATTAATCAAACCATGCAAGGTTTGGAATATTTGTATTGTCTTTCAGATTAAAAGATGGCAGTAGTATTATGGTTAGAGTGAACACTAGTGACTTGAAAAATCAGTTGGCTTATCAGGTACTATATTGGCAAAGGAAAGGAGGATCACAAATATCAGTGCTATTAAATGTAATTTAACAGTATTTTAAGAGTAAAGATGAAGAGTAGCTGTGATCAAGATTAAAAATGCAAAGAATGCAGTTTTATTTTGTCAATCTAACATACACCAGTAAACTGATTTGGTTTTAAAAAAGCGTACTGATTATTTACAGGTTGTTGCACTATTACAGGAAGTCCTGGTAGCTGCTTTGTCCTCTTGATATTTTAAAATATATATAGGATTTTAGAGATTCTGTATTATAATGAGGTTACTCACATGAAGAAATTTTTTTCATTTACTTAAAATTCCTATCTATAATAAGTGCTGATGTATGGAAGAAAACAGAATTTGTTAAACCAACAATAAGAGATACACTGGAAAGTTACGGTTGTATATATTTTTAAGAAGAACTGCAGTGTCATCATTAAATCATGAAATTTTTAAAAAGAAGAGCTGTTTAGGCTAGGTTCAGATACACTAGGAGTCATGAGAAGTTCTAATGCCTCTCTAGTGAAAGACTTGTGGAGACTAATAGGCGTGCCTTGTATATTGCTGTTCAGACAGATGATAGGTACTTTTGCTGTGGGGGCCTCATTGAAAGTGGACCAATTTATAAATAACAACATAAATGGGCTTAAGTAAAATTTGTCAGTGAGGGACATGTTGCTCTCAGGACCCAAAAAGTATTGGACTTTTTCTAATGTTGTGGTAGTAAGAAGGTCAGTAGCTTTTCTTGGCAGTGTTGATCCTGGGACAGCTCTTGGCCAACCCAGTAATTACGAGAAATTGTAATTACGAAGAATTTTGGGTAACTGAAAAGACAGACCTTAAACTATGGTAAGCCAATAGCCTATTCCCCTCCTTTGTTTTCACATTAGCTCTTTTGTATTTGTGTTTCCTGACTGAATAGCTCCAGTGAATCTAATCAGAGGAGGATACCATCAAAGTGGTGTCATGTGATACCTGTGATGCTGGAGAAAGTTGGTTGTAGTTAATACTGTGACTGCTAAGATTGTGTGTGATGGCAGGACTATTGAGATACCCTGTGTGTATTGTAGCTCTTCAAAGGTGAAGGAAGGCAAACTATAGCTAGAAGGCTGTTGAAATAAGTTCATAATAGAACATGTTGCCAAATCTGTAATAGCAAAATTTTTCATGTTGTTGATTGAAATCAGTAATGAGTGATACTCCTGTCCTGCGTCAGCACAAGATTTTTACACTAAACTTTTGGGTAGTTTTTGAGCCCGTCTTGGGTGGTTTCCTCAGGCTGGTCAGTATTCCACTGAATATTCAAGTTCTCTTCCTAGATCTCCAGAGATCTCTCTTGCTGCATGTCCTCTTCATCTTCTGTCTCTCAAATTCTGTCCACTTTGTTCTCTCTTGACTCTCAGATCTATCTTTTCAACTCAGGGAGTCAGCAGGCTCTGCATGGGGCCCTCCTCCCTGTGCCACACCTGGAAACTCTCTCAAGGCAGTAAGATGGGGCAATCGCATGACTTTCCAATTTGTTTTCTGTCACTCAAGGAACACTGTGCTTTGCTACCTGATGAAACTTCTTTTTTTCCCTCATATTCCATCTTTTTTTTAGCTGTTTAAAATGCCAAGTAAATTCTTCCATTTCTCTGTCTTAAAGAAGTCTTCCTACTTTGAAAATGTATTATTTTTGTGATACTGAACAATACAATTAACAAATATGCTTTACTTTTTCCATACTACACCACCCCATCTGAGCCTTTCAAACTTTTACCTACTACCTCTTAAATATCAGCTGAAAGAACACCTTTGACAAATGCCTTCTCAGGACACTTCTTCATATCCCTTTTAGCTAAAAGTGATTTCTGTATACGTTATGACTCTTATGACAATTACCGATACAACTACACTGAAAACCTCATAGGGCAGGAGTAACTGGGTCTGCTCATCTCAGTGACCCTTTGGGGTGGAGCACAGCACCTAATGCATAAGAGTTGATTCAGTGAATAATTGTTCACTAACTCAAATATCTCTATTATAAGTTTTTTCTCTATTAGTATACATGAATTACCATTCTACTCCATATTTAAATACTTGAAAAGAAGGCTTGTTATTTTATAGATAACATATAGTTCCTGGTAGATAGTATGTTTTCAACATATAGTTATCAAAAAGACTGAAATAATGAGCATGTATGCAAAGTAAAAGAAATCTGCTGAGTGGCACAATTTTGTTTCCACAATGAATGATTTCATTTAATCATTAATAAATAAATAGGTCTTTCATTTAATAATTTTCCAATTTTAGTGAAGATATATAAGCATGCCCCAATTTTTGAGTTTTTTTGTTAATTAACTTTTTTATTGAATTATTTTCATTTTTCCTTAGAAATTTTAAATCATGTTAAAAATCACTCAATTCAAGATAGACAAGTTACAGATAGCATATCAAAAATATCTTAGAAATCTCTCTTTTTTGGCAGTTCTTCAGGGAGAAATAGTGTTGAGTAAGGTATTTCAAGCATTAGCTTTTAAGTGATGAATTACTATTAAGCTAAAAACAGAATTTCTAACAGTTGATTTACTTCATAGGCAAAAAAGTACTAACACGCATAGCAACCCAAACCAAAAGCAAAAACAAAAATATTCCCAAATAAAGGAGTACAAAGAGAGGTTTCAGTGGAAATTAAGGTACACTAAACTTCTGTAATCAAAGACTCTAACATACTGATAAGGTGTGGTGGTGATCAAATTGCGATGAAAGAAAATTTAACTATGTTACTGATAGAAACATGTAATTTTGGAGCTGGAAGAGATGTGTCATGGACTCACATGCATAGATTAGGAAATTTAGGCACCAAATCATTTACTTGACTTATTACCGGCATAGTTAATCACTGAACAGTATTTCTATCACATAAATGGATGAAATTTACCATTTAGTTTAATTACTTTCTATACATACCAGAAAGGTTAACTTCAAATAAAAACATATTTTTAATAAATCCTTATTTAACATAATGGCCTTTAGTACACCCTGTTTTTTTTCTAATGTCAATATGCAGCGATGTAAGTATGAATTCGGTATGAAAAAACTTAAATACCTGGACTAAATTTACAAACAAAACCCCGATAGCAATTTTGGGAAACCAACCAAGGAAAACAAAATTTTTCTTTCTTAATTTCCATTCAGACTGTTTCGTTTTTTACTCATCAAGAATACCACCTGTCCTTGGTTGCCATTTATTACTATTTGTGCTAAATGTTTTAAACAAATTCTCCCATTTATTTCTAATAACAGATATATGAAATATATACTATTATCCTTTCTATTTCACATTTGAAGAAATTGTATCTTCCAGAAAAAAAACAACCTTTTTTCCTGTAGTAACACAGTTATTATATGTAGGATCTAAGATTTAAACCCATCTATTTGACTCAAGAAGCAATGTTCTCAAGTTCACTTCATTCTCTTTCTTCATATTTTTCTTTTTGTTTTCTTCTTAATTTTCTGTCTTCACAGTATATTTGACATGATATATATATAGGACATCATTTATAATGCATATGGAAATCTTTCATTAATTTATAGCTTGTTCTTCTCTAAGTTTCACAATTTCTCTGCATTTACCAACTTTAGTTCTGCAAAATTATATCATTTCTTCATGAGTTGACCATTTGTAAAATTTGTTTTTGCTGAACAATCCATTCTGCTTAAAATTAAAATTTCCTCTATCAATTATATAACTTACCAATAATTTTGTTTGTCTTAATGAATGTCCAAACATACAGTGCAAATATATGAGTCAATAATAAATTTGAATATCTTGTAAGAGATGAAATACTTTAATGTGATGAGTCAAAGGAAATAAGTCACTTATATAATCATTGACAAAAGAAATCTTTTAGAATTAGGACAATATCAGTTGAAAGAGAAAATAAACAAGATAAGATGATATGACAGATGTTTCAATATAGAATGGTTTAAACATGAAATAATTAATAGAGATTCTTAAGGATTAATGAAGCTCTTGAAATACAGTTAGGTGAATTATCCATTTATAATGGTGTGGTAAAAATAAAAAATAAAGAATTAAATTTTGTTTAGATTTTTTTTCCAGATTTTTAGAATAAAATTGTGGTGACTTTGTTTTTTCCTGGGCTAGTTATCCTTAGGCAACTAGTTCTTCCTGCATAGTGAAAATTAGAGGACTGATCCAATTTTAAGAACATAATTTTATTTTTTAACTTATTAAATAGCAATATATTTTTCATCAGAAATTAAAGTTAAAATAGAAGAGAGATTTGTAGGTATATAATTTAATTGAACTATTGTTAACTCAGTTAATAAAAATCATTTACACAAAATCTACCATCTTCAGGCACTTTGCCAGGAATTGAGAATAAAAAGTTCAGTAAGTAAGGTTTCTTATCTCTAATATTTCATAGGCTACTGAAGTAGTTTTGGTATTCTGAGCATTCTTGCCCTTTGACAATTTCCCACCAGAGTGATTTGCAAATAGACTTTTCACTTACATGATTACCCAGCAGCAAAACACATTGTGTGTGTGTGTGTCACACAGGTTTCTTTTCTAGTCTTTAAAAACCCCAGTCCTCTCACATGTGTAGATGTGTCAGCCACGATTTGCTCTGTCCATTTTAATGATTGCAGGAGACTTAATAATATTTACCCCCTACTTCATATCTAGTAACACTTGTGATGTTGGTAAAAGGATAAAATTTTACTCACATAAATTCTATCTGTTAATAGTAAACCTGTTTCAGATTATAAATTGAGAAATTGTCC